CTCGTACGTTCACATCTCGGTTACGCGACCCAAGTATGGACACCTCAGCCGGTTGAATTACTGACGAAAGTAGAAAGAACTCAACGACGTGCGACGAAATACATCCTTAACCTGCCATTTACTTGTTCTGTTGACTATACATCCAGACTGCAGGCTCTCCAACTACTTCCAATATGCTATTGGCACAAGTATCTTGATATGGTGTACTTTTTCAAAGTAATCCACGGCTTAACAAACTCGTCCTTTGTTTTACGTAAGAAAACGAGACTGAACACAAGAGCTTCTAACAACACCAATACAGCGAAGTACGAAGTACCGCAATGCAGAACAACGACTTTCCAAAAATCTTTTTGGATTAGAACAATCCGAACTTGGAAGTATGGAAAACCTGGGCATGTTTAAGTCAGTAATGCAAAGATATTATTTTGCCGCATTGGAGAAAGCGTACGAATGTGATGATCCAAGAACATTTAAAACTATCTGCCCGAAATGCAACAGTGCAAGAACGTTAATCGAACCAGTGAACTGCTGTTTTTAGGCGTTTTAATTGTATATATGTTTGTGTTTTAATCTTTTGGGCCCACAGTAATTGGCTTTTCAGGCTGTTGTGGTTACTCAGCCATCAGTTTAGTGTGTTTGTATTTGTGTTTGTGTTTGCGTTGTGTGGGTGCGTATGTGTTTATGTCTATATCACACAATGATGGAAAAGCAATTAAATTAAATTAAATTAAATCATCACCACCATCACCATCATCACCATCATCACCACCATCATCATCACCAACATCATCACAATCATCATCACCATCATCACCATTACCACCATCATCATCACCACCACCATCATCATCATCATCACCCTCACTATTATTATTATTATACCACCATCAAAAAGAACAAAAGTTACAAAACAACAACTACAATACCATCACCATCATGACCACCACACCTACCTCTAGAAGCGGGCTGATTTTCATCTTGCTTCAAATACGATGCGATTGCTAGAACAATCTTCAACAGAAAATTCATCATTCAACATTCAACATTCACGTTCATTGTATGTGGTATTTAAGGCACCGAATTATATATAAGAGCTTCCAGTCTGAATCAAACAATGAATATTTTCTGTGGGTACTCCAGTGACTGCACGTTCCTGCTGTAGTAACACTGGATTCATAACTCATGCTCCTTACATTATCTACACACAGTAAACTCACTTTGTTCGCCTTTGCTTGGACAGTTAGATCTTGACTTTCAGCAAGCAAGTGAATACTTGGGCATTGTTCATTAATTTCACGAGGAATATTTGACAGATTACTTCTCAACATATACTCAACGACACAAAGCGATTTCTAGAAAGAAATAAAATCCCACTCATCTATAGTGGAAACATCGCAGGTTTTCCTCGGGTACTCCGGTGTCCTCCTGTAGTAACACTGGATCAATAAGAGATGATCCTTACTGGACCTCTAGGAAGAACAGTTTAGAACTGATAGAGCTATCCAGTAAAAATAAAGTTAGTTTAGTTTCCTCCTGTAGTAACACTGGATCAATAAGAGATGATCCTTACTGGACCTCTAGGAAGAACAGTTTAGAACTGATAGAGCTATCCAGTATAAATAAAGTTAGTTTAGTGTAGGTTTCCTCCTGTAACACTGGATCAATAAGAGATGATCCTTACTGGACCTCTAGGAAGAACAGTTTAGAACTGATAGAGCTATCCAGTATAAATAAAGTTAGTTTAGTGTAGGTTTCCTCCTGTTGTAACACGGGATCAATAAGAGATGACCCTCACTGGACTTCTAGGGAGAACAGTTTGGAACTGATAGAACTATCCAGTATAAACAGACTTAGTTTGATTTACAGGTAGGTTTCTTCGTAGTAGTAGTAATAAATAAACCAATAAGGGAATGGATCTCTATGGAAAAGACTAGCTGTTTAGATTTACTGTACATACCAGTTGTACGTTAAGAGACGAACTTTGAAGCCTTTCATCCAAAATCTCTAAGATAACTGGTATTTCCAGTGAGGATGATCTAAGATATAGAACATTAATAGAATTGTTACGTGTTATTCATTAGTGTCAACCTATCAAGTCAACCTATCACACCTACCAATTAATTAATCATGTAAACGAATAAATCATGCAAGTCAGACAATCAATCAACGACTATATTTGCAACAAATTTTCATTAATATCAGAAAGATGCAAAACAGAGGAGACTTCCGACAAAGAGACGTTTTTACTTACTTGTTCACAAAATCTTTTAACATTTCCTTGCTTGGGATTTTTGTCAGTCCTCCTTCAGCAGTAATGTTCTGAACCAACTTTCGTTCATAATAGTGATCACTGTTCATTTCATTCTCATCACAACTAGATAGATAGATAGATTGTTTAATGAAAACCTTTTTGCAGTTAGTAAGCTGAATTATTAAGGTATTAGATAATTTACAAAGGTAATTTAATATAATCTACTATTTAAAATTTATTCATAATTAGAGTTATTAAAATCGCCCGCTTTTGGATTTGCTCTAAAGATTTACTTAGATACTCAGGAAGGTAAATAAACTTGTCAAGCATGAAGTAGAACAGAACGTATACAAGCAACATAAAACTACTATTCAATATTAAGACAAGGGTCATTTATCATGGCACAGTGGTTTCGTTCCAAGGTATGGACATATATATAGCCTATGTCACAGACATAGGCTTATTACGATAAGCTATACTAATTTACCTACCGTATCTAGTAAGGTCTGTTACCTAGGCCATGACATGTAAGGTGAAGACTTATACATGAGTTATCCAGTGTAAATATATTAGAGCCCAAACTTACATTTCGTCCTCATCATTCCCGTCAAATGAACTAAAATCTATAATATACGAGAAACTCTTAGTTTAGTGCATATACCATTCATTTTTGTGAACAGTATTCCAATCCAGATTATATGCATCTTGTCCGATTATTATTCAGCATGTGCAAAGAATTCAGTTTGACTCATCACCACCACCATCATCATCACCACCACCACCATCATAACCACCACCATCATCATCACCACCACCACCACCACC